ATATGTGGAATGGGAGTACACATCATGGTACTTGCTATATTCCAAATCTGCCCTGGCCAACTTTACCTAGCAGCTGTTAAAGGAGACATGATGAATTATCCACATTAAAATGACTTTTTACCCAAACAAACATCTTGGGACATAGGGGACCGAGGAGCTTTCGAATTGCCAGAGGAACTCTCTCACCAGAGGGAGTAGAAATGGCAATTAGGCGGGCAAGACGGATTGACCGCGTCACAAACAACCGGCCAGTGAGCAAAGAAGGAGCTACTAAAATTAGCCGAATGAGTCATGAGGACGGCCCAGGGAATTCGGGCGACAGACAACCGCATCAGCGACCAAAAAAGTGGACGGGCGCGCATGCAACGCATCCTGGTGACTCACAATGGTGTGGGGGACAACGGACACCCACATTTCCCTCGCACGGAAGAAAAGGGCAGCGAGCTGCAGCAGAATAAAGTTGACTTAATGACATCCTGTTAAACCAGCAGCAAACCAATCCATTCAAAATTTAGCGAGAACACAGAGAGAACCCGATACCCTGGGTCAGGAAGAAAAATTTAACGACGAAGCGCCCGGGACAAATTTTTGGGTTAAGAAAGCCTCTTCAAAACTGATTGTCAGCCTTCATAGTCTGTTAATTATTGTGTATTAACTTAAATAACCACATTGTTTAAACAATGTCTGCAGCACAACCTCTCACTGGACCCAGCCAAGGTAGTAGAATCAGTTCCATTTTTTCAGGAAAACTTTGATAGCACTTGTGACAGAGGCTGTATACGAGAATAAACAAGTAAATACCAAGTTAATTAATCGGAACCGAGGGCTTATGAGAGCACCTGAAGCCTTTAATTCACATATTTAAAGTTGTGATGAACTATTTCAATACATTCAAGCCTTTGGTGTCTGATAAAGTGAGCATAAGTTTGCACATCTACTAACGTCGGCACGAGGAGGGGAATAACGCTGTAGAGGGAGGAATCCGTCACTCGAGACAGTGTGGGTGGCATAAGAACAACCAAACTTTAGGTATCGAAACTGTTTTCTATCAAGATTCCGTCAAGTTTGATTCCAATAAGACTGCATCCAGTCATGAAAGTTCCACGGCCAGACTTGAGTAAACTTCGCTCCGGTATTAAAAGGTTGGAACAAATTCATACCATTAATTCAATATAGCAGAGTTGGATAGATACAGACCTCTGACATTTGGAGGCAAGTAGAAACAAATGTAGAAGGAAAATCTGAACTAACTAAACAAGCAAAACTAAAGTCCAATTCCTCTCCTTTCGACTCACCCAGATTGGGATCCGCATGCAGCTCATGCAGATGCGCCTATGGGCGCTTAAGCAAAGCACTACCGTTGCAAATAAATTGTGCACGGCTGACGGTGCAAAAAGACATCTAAGTCCACTTTTCAGTTTACATGACGCGGTCTCTCTATGGATATTCATGCACACAGCTGCCAATGAGTCCCAATGCAATGCGAACGGCCTTAACTCAACCAAAAGGTCAAACTAGCCAAGTTTGGACATAAATCAATGGTCGTGGAGAAAAAAATGACCAAATTAACGATATCAGACAGAGGAAAACGTAATTGCCACTTATTTTACAGGCGTGAATGAAGAATCAAATCTCATCTAAGTAGAGGGAGTACGGAAATCCAAAAAAGCTTAAACCAAAGCACAACCAAATCTTACGCAAATGCTGAGGAATCAATCGCACACAACCCAAACTAATGACAACATTTAATGAAAAAAAAACAACTATACAAACCGAGAAAATCAAGTGTAGATCGCCCATCATGTAGAAACAGAATTGCGCTAGCGTCCGTCAGCGAAGTTGTATGATTCAGGAGCGCAAACTGCAAACATCCTACTTGAGTAGATTTGTCTTCTATAATCACAGCTATCCAGGAGGAATGTTGCAAGCGCGTAGGACGCGATAAAAAACAACCATTATTGAGACTTCTGTTTTCACTAAGCACGGAATGCCATTTGAGGCGGACAAGGTCACCTTGATAAACCCTGTGGTATTTGAAAGCCCCATCATCAACACTGGGTAATCCACCCACGCAATGATTGGCGACCTGAAAAAAACGGTAATGTCATTAAATACGTAGGAAATCATTGAAGACCCAGGTACAGCCTAGCTTACACTTAGATTAAAGATAGATGTCGATAACTTTGTCGTCGAATTAGCGAACGATATGGCTATATCAAATCGGGAGTAGCGGACGCATTCACAGCCAATAAATGTAGTCAGAAACCAAGATAAAATCCATAATAGTGGATGCGTCATTAATGCCTCATTGAGCAGGAAGCAGACGAAGCATGTGGCAACAACGGAGTCAGCTGTCCCGGGGTTTACTTGGCTTTCTAAGCCAAAATGACATCTGCCCAATCAGAATATCAGCTGCCTAACCTTCAATGACGCTTAAAACAAGTAAGCAAAATAGGTGGCAAAAATCCATCATAATTAATCACAAGATGAGATGGCATTTAGTGGGCTTTTGAATATACGCTAGATGACACATTGCTGCACCAGAAGTTTCGCTTTACCAATGGGAGTAGGTGCATTAACCAAATACCAAGTAACTCAAACCAGATTTCAGCGCAAAAATTTTGAAGTATTTTAAAATCTAGTTAGCATATCGAATGAAGCTTAATAATTTGTTATTTGGTTACACGGTTTTGGTTTTCCTTTTAAGACCCAAAGCAATGATGAGTCGACAGTTCCTCAATTGCACAATTTATTCAGCCTCTTGAGTTAGCACCCCCCCCCCCTTTGATTTCTTGATTAGTTATGTAGCTTCCTAGCCATTCTGTACAGTTGCAACTAAGTTCACTCACACTGACGCCGAACGTCGCAATTTCAAGGTTGATGTTTTCTCTATTAAACTTCAGAGGGAAAATTGGGAATATGGGTCGGTTAAAGCACAACGGTAATGGTGGCAAGCACCTTAGTCATTCTCAAACACAAAACGTTAAAGAAACCTGTTGCACAAAACCACTCTTTTTGCTAGCTGAGAAGCCTTCACAACTATCTGGTTCTTGTAATCGAACTCGAATCCTCGATAGGATAATTTGCAGCCTCATTTGTTCACAGATTCATCCTCTAATGTTTCCTGACACAACACACACCAAGGTTTCGTTAAAACTACTAGAACAAGCTTCCTTTTAGATCAAGTATATGGTGGCAGCTGATCTTTGACCCTGTGAAACAATTCTTATCGCAGTGCAACTACTATGAAAGATTTTTGTTTTGTGCTTATATCAAAACCAGTACAACATGACAATGACATCCAGCAGTTTGCCAACTTCAGAACTATTTACGAACAAGTGGGATAAAGTTGTCGAATCGGGCAAATCAAACCAAATTTTAGGGACAGTTGGCACCGAAAGGATCATTTAGTATCCTTTCAGCTTTTCAAACGGTGAACAACTGAAGAAGTAGAAGTAATCAAAAGGAGCTTTCCTGATGATACTAAGGTTACTTGCCTTAGCCATAACCCGCCATCAAAAGAGTTATGGAGTTTACTTCCTTCTCGTGCTGCCTGGCATCGAATTTTGACGTCATTCTCCTGTTCCGCATTTAGTGCGCGTCTATTCACCAATTTCTTTTTCAGAAAATAAATAGCCGGTAGAGGCTGATGAAAAATCTTACTGAGTATGCAAAATTTTAGATGCCCGTTGGTGATCCGAACTAGCAAATGCCACAAATTCATCTGATTATATTTCATCAAAAACTGTGGAACAGACCTTCAGAAATGAACACCAGAATCATGTTTTATTGCGAATGTTTAAATGGAGTTTCCGAAAACAAAAATGTAGAATCTCAGCAAGCAATTAACTACGGATTCATGGTCAAAGTTTGGCCGAATGTTTTGAACCACAAAAAAATGTTAATGAAGCAATTGACTTGTTCTAGTTACGGTGAGGCAAAAATTCCGTGAGTTTGTGGGAATTGCGCTCAGAGACATCTGTCTACCACGTACTTTAAAATAACATATTTTTAAGGGTAGGAAATGATCGAAGTATTACACCATTCCAACATCAAAGCCTGGAGTGGTTGGCTGGTTGCTCAGAGCTAGCGTGAGCAGGATAAAAGCTCCGATTACCAATGCAAATAAAAACGAAAAACTGCAAATCGAAGCACGGACGCATACGAAAATAAATTGGACAAGCAGTAGTTTCGGTGTTAGCTTACACTATGCATACAATGGGAATTTGATTGTATGAATTTGCTGCATTTCATACATTTGAATGGGAAATTAAGTATCTGTGGTCATTATATTTTTAAAGTATAAATTTAGTCTCTTGCTCCACCGAAGTAGGAATAAAGCAGGGGAATTGGAATGTTTGGGACTTACGCTAGGTTTTGCTCAACGTATACTCCCTCACAGGTGCGCTGATGAGAGCAATTAGCGGAGAAATTGAATTAGGCGTGAGGAAGCCCATCTGTCGATGCTTTTCATTCGCCAGGCAGGAATCGATTTTTTTTCAAAAAGTGCGTTGATCGATTAAGCGCGCAATCTTTTCACCGAGTCAGTATTCCGTTGAGTTTGGCTTGGAATTAATACGCTAGCACCAGGAGTGTCTGGCTGGTTTTACTCATTTTTTTGAGAGTAGGATAACTTAGTTTGGAACACCAAATTGTCAACTTGGTTCGCTGTTTTCAGCTCTTCACTAATCCCATCCTAGGTGACACCACACCCGCCGTTTATCAAGACCGTTGCTGAATGGTTTCTGAGAAATTACCAGCGACGTGTAGACCCTGTTCGGATTGATAATGTCTAAGGAAAATTGTGCAGAAAAAGGAGAAATTTGGAGTCTAAGCACAAATCCACTAATCTCTCAAACGGGTGTTCCGGTAGCTGGTCAAAATCAAAGAGCGTCTGGGGATATAGGTGATGAGCAGCGTTCCACTGAAAAAAACACAATCACACCAATATTCGACTCTCTTGAATCCTCCTCCGCCAGCTCCATCACCAATATGCTAAATGAAACCACTCACCACCATGTGAATGGGGCATCTCCCGAGCGGTCCACTGAAAATCAAGGAGTAAATGAAATATGCGATTCCACTTTAAAAGTCTGCAAGGATACCCCAACCACCTCAGAATCTAATAATGCCGCCTCCTCCAGTCTCGTGGGTGGCAACTTCTTGCTTAAAATCCACTCCACTGACCACCAGAAGGATGCTCAGGAAAAGTCGGTGGCAGAATCCACCTACTCCACTTCAATATCTCCTTGCTCTGATTCAACCGAAAAGGCTATTCTGAACTCTCCAGAACCTCTGGGAGCTGATAAGCCCTCTAAAGCTTACCCCACCTCCCAACCTTCTGAAATCTCTAAATCCCAGACCTGTGGTCGAATATACATCCCCGATCCAAAGCTTCAAAACTTCAAGTCAACCAGTGCCGCCAGTCTTCCACACAAACAGGGGCATATTACTCCTCCAAGCAAATTTCAGCAGCAACAGCCGCAGCAGGAAAGCCGGATTAGGGTAAACAAGGATCGGAAGGTAGAAGAATCCGGTAACTTCATTCAGCAGCCCTCCGAGTTGACATATTTACCACCGGAACCTAACTATAAGACCGTTACGCCAGCACAGCAAGCTGTAGCATCTGGTAACACTGCTCCTCAGTCAACCCGAAACCTCAATGGAAGTCTCCACGGCAACAATTACTTTTTCGCCTCATCTAGTCCTTCAGCCATGACACCATCGAATGGGAATGTTTCAGCTGGATCAGTGGATAACTGCAGTATGAACATACAGCTGTGTGAACCAATGAACAAGACCAACCTAATTGTTAACTACCTTCCACCTTACATGTCCCAGGATGAGGTGAAGGCCCTATTCTCTAGCATTGGTGAAGTTGAGTCCTGCAAGTTGGTACGAGAAAAGACGTCAGGTGAGAGTTTAGGTTACGCCTTCGTCAAATTTGTTCGCGCTGCAGACGCAGACAAGGCTATTCGTACGCTGAACGGGTTGCGACTCCAAAATAAAACTATTAAGGTCTCTATCGCCCGTCCCAGCTCGGAGTCAATAAAGGGTGCGAATCTCTACATCTGTGGACTGCCGCGCAAGATGACTCAAAGCGAACTGGAAGACCTCTTCTCTCATTGCGGCAAGATCATTACCGCGCGCATTCTTTACGACAACAAAACGGGCCTCTCTCGTGGTGTAGCATTCATTCGATTCGACCAGCGCCATGAAGCTGAGCAGGCCATTCGACGACTCAACGGCTACCAGCCGCCCACTGACCACCCTAGCGCCCCACCCAATGAGCCAATTACCGTGAAGTTCGCCAATTCGCCTAATTCCATTCGTCACGACAGCCTCAGCTTGGCTTTGCTGAAACAGGCGGCTCAATTGCAATCGGTAGCGGCTTCAGTTGTCACTCCGCCTACACGATCAGCAGCGTCAGCTGCTGCCAACGCTGTCGCAGCTGCCGGGCTTCTCAGTCCTCTTCAACAGTTCGCCTCCATTTCCAATCGCCTAAAGTATTCTTCCGCGCTGGCCGGTGGTGCTAGCGGTCAGGGTCCCAATGCGGCTGATTTGTTGCCCGCTGTGGCAAGTGCTGCAGCTGTTGTGAACCCACTACTAGCTCCTGCGGTTGCTGCAAGTTCAGGAGCCCTCACAGCCACAGGATGGTGTATATTCGTGTATAATCTCGCGCCCGAAACGGAGGAGTCTAACCTGTGGCAGCTCTTTGGCCCTTTTGGAGCCGTGCAAACTGTGAAGATCATTCGAGATCCGAGCACCAACAAGTGCAAGGGTTTCGGATTTGTAACGATGAGCAACTACGAGGAGGCTCTGTTGGCCATCCACTCTTTGAATGGCTTTGCACTAGGCAATCGAGTTCTTCAGGTCTCCTTCAAGACCACACCGAACCCACGTCTTCGACCACCAACACACACACCACCACCGAACACACTCAGTCCAACTATGCAAATGAACCAGTCGGGTGGGAAGATGAACGATTCTATCCAGTCGACTGAAGTCGACACAACAGTGAAGGCACAGCAACTGCTGAATGAATCTTCCAACCCTGCCGCTATTGGAAACGCAATGCCTGTTCAAAGTGGGGTAAAATTTTCGCCCCAAATAGGGCGCCGTTCGGCTAGCATTTCGTCAGCTGCGGATTGCTCAAGTCCGGTGGGAAGTCGTTCAATCTTCAGTCAGATTAATTCTGTTGCAAAATCGGACGTGAAAAGCGACTTGACTGCGGGGAACGAGATTCAGACGTTTTGTAATGCTTTTTCAGCTGAAGTCAATGATTTCAGCCAGCACAACTCAGCCAATATGCCCCTAGAAAGTGGTTCTTTGAGACTGTTTGCGGACACAGAACCAGTACCAAATGAGTCGAGCAATAAGGGCCGACCATCGAGCTTTCATGATTGAGGCAAAAACAGTGTCAAGGGAGAAGTCGTTGCGAGAAACCTTTTCTCTCCAAATTTACGTGTATTTTGTGCACTCATTATTATCATTATTAGATGAAGTCATATATTATTTGAAGTAGAAGCAGAGAGAGAAAAACACACAGTACTTTTAAAGGAAAAGAGAGGTGTTCATTTGTGCTTATTTCGGTTAGTAATAGTTTTGGCTGTCAATTTTTATCACCCTGCATCATTAAGTTTTATCGCTCCACTTCTAATAGTTTGGGAGTTATGTTCCCTTAGAAATTTTATGTAGGTTATAAACGCTTGCTCCTATTCCTTGTCATACCTCTACCTGCTTCCTAAGACTATTCCTTTCCTGATTGCCCATCTTATGCAACTCTTCAACCGTTATCACACGCACATTCCTAAAAACCATTTGCATTCGTTTGGGGTGCTCACGAGACGCTTAAATGGCTTAAAAGGGCCGCAAAATCCTGCTTGCTGCAAGAGAGGAGTGAATAATGTCGCTTCATGAACATCAATGAGGTCTAGAGGGCAAAGGGTTTCGCATTGTACCCCACCTTTGCCAAAATTTGTGCTTCTTTACCACTTGTCCCTATTATTCTTCTTATACTTCTTTTAAGTAACTTCTTTTCAAATGTACTTACATTTCACCATTGATATGTTTTCCCTTCTCCATGTATACTGTATGTTAGCTCTCTCACCTTATCTACATGACCCCGGTTATTTTGTGCCCTCACCGTAACCGCCATCAGTTATGAATAGCTGATAATTATACGTCAGTAAATATTTTGCCAACTTATAATTGTACCTTATTCTGCAAAAATGAATTTTGTTGTCCATTTCCCCAATATATGTTTGCTTACCACTTTGCAGGAAATGCTCTTGATTCAGGGCTCCGCATTCAAAGGAGGGTGTTCCTCCAGTATAATAATGTTTCCTGTAAATCTAGCTGATTATCACCCAACTTATTTTTGGAAAATAGAACAATATCTTATGTAGAGAAGTCCTATTTTGCAATTTTGCATCTGCACAAAATTTCTCATTTTGCAATTAACTATTTTTAGCCTATAGCCAGTTAATCCCCGAGTTTATTGGTGCTTTAAGAGAATGAATTGCCTTTACATCAAGTCCCCTAAACATGGCAATAGCCAGCACTGTGCCAATTAACAAGATGTCCATGTAAAAGAAACCTACCCTTCTGTTCTGCTCTTGACTGCTATTACTGCAATTCATACAAGAAGGGATGTTTGAACAAACAGCAGACTTCATTGCATTAATTGTTCAAATGACGAATTAATAGGCAAACAGATTGATGGACAATCAGCCTCAAATAAGGGGTTGGCTCAGACATTCCACGGATATGCTTTCGAGATTAGCATCAGGTAAGACAAGTTCTGAAATTCTTCTGCACTCTCCGTAATTTATTAATGTACATACTATTTTATGTGGCATGAAAACAAATGGCCATTTCCCAGTTGTTCCACTTTCCAATCCAGGTATGTGAAGTCAGATACAAAGAACTATCCAACTGTGGTTTTCCACTTTGTAGTGATCCCCCTCTATAACTCGACCCGCCGAATTCATTAATCCTTTTCAGTTAAGCGACCCTGTAGGATAAATAAAATATATGAAATATAAGCTGAATGTGCGCATAAAATCAAGAGGCTGATTTGATATTTCGGATTATTGACTAATTAGAATAAAGCCAACTCGATGTCAAAGGCAACATTTTCAATCCTATGCATAGACACACCGAACATGCGGTGAACTGAGTGCCACCAGGACTAGAGAATATGTGAAAGTGCCAGTCCCCTGGCATGTGGTTTAACATCGATGTAATCATTTACGGAGAATAACCTCAAAAAAATTGAACATCAAATGATTTCTACAAATACCGAACCATAGCGCAAATTTTAGGTCGCAATATGTAAATCCGAGCTAGGTTATTTGTAAAAGTGGTTTTTCGAAGGATATTTTAATGCAAGTCAGTGAATTTTGATTATTCTGAAAAGTGTCCTTTTTAAGATTGTTACTGCATTTTCACAAATCATGCCATTTGAGTGCAAACGTCAGGGATTGAAGGGAATATAGAGTAATAATGAGAAGTCATAGATCGAATCACTCACAGAGAGAACAAGCATGATTACACGTCAGTAATTTGCAGGCCTGCGTTTTTCAAGATCTTCCTTTCAGCCAACCAATGGAAATGGTGTTTGAGAAAACAACTGATGTCTAAGTAATCTTGGATACACATACACGATGATCCGTCCCGTAAATTTGAACGAAAATAGGCTCTAAAACTAGATACCAGATGATGCTTATAGCTATGACCGGTAAAAACTTTTTTGGCAGAAATTAAGAGAATTAGTGCCGTGTACATCGAAATGGGGCACGAGCAATCCTTTCCTGAAGGTACATTCGCCTTTAAAATATCTGTGTTCATTCTTCAGTTACGCTTCATTGGATTCTGTATTGGTCTACATTTGGCATATTTACGGCCGCAGAACCCAGTATCATCGAAATGGGCAACACTGTTTAACTCTAAATCGAGACGCAAACGACCACAAACACGAACTTCCTTGAATAGGCTCACCTTTGTGAACGAATCACTCACGCAAACGACAGCTGTTAGAAACAACTTCCCTGGTTTGAAGGTTCAAACCAATATTTACATCCAGGCAATGGCCTCTATTTACAGAAAATACAGCAGATTAACTGAGAGGGGAACACCTACCGCCTACAGCAATCCCTCGGAAGCTTTCCCAAGAGAAATGGACAGCCAACGCTTCATAATGAAAAAATTACCTCACGATCGAAAGAAAAGTACCTATCTGGAAGCAATTCGGATTTTGAATGCATATGATGCTGACGCATTCAACAACGACTGACAAGATGCCTCACGAGACGACAGGCTTTAACCCCATTATAGAGTGCTTCCAACGAAATTTTAGGCTCACAATGGTAGGAAATCGAATGAAAAAGACTGCGGCCATCCATAATAAGCATAGGTAATTCTCGAATGAATTGATGTGCAAATTCTTAAAAAATGCTCCTCTACATCACGAAAATCCACGTGATATAAAACACGGATATGCGGCAGACAACCGCTAAATAATAGTGCTTAAAGACTAATTCAAGACAATAAGAACAGTTCCCATGAAAAAGAAATATCACAAGTGGTATTGCTTTTTTCCAACAAGCACCATCAACATGTACAAAGGCAACACCATAGGAAAGCGCAGAAATAGAGGGAAGAGGAATCGAGAGCACATCCAGAGGCGCGACTGTCTACTTAACGATAGCGGGGGCGTCGTACTGCTCGTAGGCGAAACGCTCCTTGTGGAAGCGATCGTAGTAGAGTGCGATATAGTCAATTTCCAGGGCAAATGGTCCGGGCAGGCGGTCGGCGAGGGTGAAGGAGATCATGCGCACCCGCGAGGGGGAAATGCGTTGCTGCCGGTCCACCACGGTGCCCCGATTGATCAGATAAAAGGCGGAGAGCGGCAACTTTGAGATGCACCAGTAGGGACCACCGCGTGTGTATAGTGGAAATTGGTGCATGTCGAACCAGAAGGCATCCCATTCCGTCTTTGGGTGGATGTTCAACCGGTACGTACGACCGTCGCCACGATAGCTAGAGCAATGCGTCATGCGGTATGGTGGTATAGCACACGCCACTAATTTACTAATAAAGTTCCACAAATGGTCCACTCAAGTAGACAATGCCTGTTTATTTTAAGCTCCGCAATCAAATTATCCAATCAAACTCGAAATGCGTGCTCGACAGCCTTAGCGGACGGTTAATGCTAGTGGGTATTAGTGGGAGGGATTCATTAAATTGAGCAACATAAAGTAGGGGAAGAGAGGGAATGACGTAAGGTTGAGCAGCAAAAACCGCAAAGTTTATTTTCATGCAGGAAAAATGTGAAGCCATGCGCTAGTAGGCGAAGACATTTCGGAATAGGAACTTTACTGGTTTGGATTAGCCTGGATTGCCAGCCACCCTTCATGCATGAACACGCGCACATACACACTAGGTGGCATCCCTCAGATATCGGTGTTTCAAAGTTCCCACATCCCGTTTCAACCACCACCGAGGCTGCACGTTTCACTCGTTTATTTATTGTTATAGTTTCGAATTTCACAAGTGCCACGCCACAATAGGCGTACAAAACAAGGCAATGACGTCCCATTCTCATAAACAAGAAAAATAAATTCTTTAGAAGGAAAGAAGAGGGCTTTCGTTAACTCAGCTAGTTAAATTTGGAAAAAAAGGCGTCCTTATAGAAATCGCAGCTATGTGTGCCACATGGCCAGTGAAAACGCAAACCCGTCTGAAGTGAAAATTGGTCGCCTAGTGAGGTCGCTCATCCACTTCGCAGAGCTCATCCTGTTTGAAACTAGTAGATGTAGAATCAAATGAGTTTTGAGCGTGAAATGTAACCTCGCAACTCCACAAATCCCTGCATTTCTAGACTACAAATAGGTAATCAATCAATAAATACCTAAAATTTGGTTAAGAAAGGTTGGAATTCAAGCTGGAAAAGATGGTAAAAATCTCACCCACTACTCAAATGATGCATTCTAGGGATAACAAGCAGACACAATCAATTGGATGGATGCGACAGTCGTAAAAGACTTCGACAAAAGCCCTACAAGTAGAAAATCTTTCAATTCCATTCTTTAGAATTAACATCCTTAATTTTAAACTCTGACCACTATTGTGTGTCTATTAAGGGTCAGTGTGTGTTATTAGCTTCAATGACAATCTCCGTTAGTATTTAAATGAAAGTTGCTCGACTTAAAGGATATGACAAAAAGTATCTTGTCAACGAAGCTAGTAGTTATGAACAGCGGATGTGGCGGTGTTGCGGTCTTACCGAATGACAAGGTGAGTGTAGGGATAGAAGTTGTACTCCATAAGGAACCCGAATTGAGTGTGCTCGGGTGAGCGGAGATGGGCGAAGCCCGAACGCACGAGGTCGCCGCGTTCCGGCACGCGGGTACTGATATTGCCGCGAAAGAGGCCATAGCCTGCATTGAAGCACTCCTGCGGCGGATCCAATGAAAACAACGTCGAACGTACGTAAGACTCTGGGCTGGCCGGGTCCGGCAGACGCTGTGGTCTGAAAAGGGGAAAAACAGTTACCGCAATAATATTAGACGATATTGATACCACTGGTTATCGCAAAACGACATTTTTGAAATTAAAACCATCTATGGCATTCCATAAAATTCACGAATCAGTCCAGACTACTAAAAGGCGAATTAAGGTAGCTACGAAAAGAATTTAAAAATATGCTAAGAAAGTTAAGATTAACACTAGAGTTGAGTCTGAGATGATTCAAATGCCAATAGAGTGAAAAAACGGACGACTATGACTATATCACCTTCTTCTCTTATCCAAACTTGTTACTAGGCGCAGAGCATTTGAATCGACGCGCAACGCAAGTAGATCAACATTAGTTGTGAGGTCTCATAAAAAAACAACTCTACGTAAGAAACATAAGTGGTAGTAATTTAAGCAACCTTCTAACCAGAGTACATGTGACGCACCAAAAAATAAACACAGACGAAGATCAACTTGAACCTAGAAAGGCGAATACGAAAGCAAATGTCATTTGTTTCTCTCACGGCAAGGCATTTGAAAGGACAAGAAATCCGATAATAGATCAAGCTTCATAACATTGGAACAATCAAGCTCATTACAATCACGAATTGTAGTAATACTTTGGGTCAACATAATCTTACTACCACGTACCCTAGCGGAGTTACGTACCATGTAGCATGCTAAAAGTTAGAATTGTCACTTTAAGAAAGAAGTCATATTGAGGAACCTGTTCAAATAACCCTAATCCTTAAAGAAAAAATTAACTAATTCTAATTTAATATTACGAAGGTTAAACAAACAAGAAAGTAAAAGACACCTTTCGTGTTAAACGCAAATGCAAAATGAAAGGAGTTAATACGTTTTGATGATCTATCGATGGAAAAGGTATTCACGTGAAAGCTAATTTGATGAAAACGTATATTACCTGCTATGCGAGTGCCACCAGATTCCATACTTAAAAGAAATGCAAAAATGAATGGTCTTGAAAAACGAGAATTTTAAAGGAACGGAATCTTTGGATAGTGAGGAAAAAGTAACATAACAACAAACGCGTAGAGTCTGGAACTCATCTCGAATTGGGACTTGAAAATCGTAGTTAATATAAAGCATTTTTACAAGTTTCGATTGAATTCATTAACTTTCCTTCAAAAAACAGCAGTCTAACTGAATTTGTATCTAAAAGAAGACAAAATAAGCGAAAAAATTCTGAGCGAAACTAAAAACTGTTAAAAACGGATCACTTATGTATGGCTGATTTTAGTAAACAATTTCAAAAGATGCTGTCAACAATCTTGGGGATAAAATCAAACTGACTGAGGAATATGCAGTGTACAAGAATCTGAAGAATTCTTGTACCATTTCAACAGGTTATTTATTATAGTAATCGAAACTGTTGTAACTAGTGGTAGATTAAACTGTAGAAAATGGCATTTTTATGGAAAATACGAATTCGAGGTTGGAGTCAAAAGCCCGATTTACAAGAATTCAGCCTGCATGCTACTGCCGCCTTCACCGAAGGGCAACGTCAAGGCTAGTACACTTTACTGCCTGAGGGAGTCCACCAACAATTACCCGCGAAGACAAATGTGTACACATCCCCTACGCAGACGAAATTTAACACGTATTCAAGTTGTCGTCCCCATCTTCAGCTGAGGCGGTAGTTTATGTATCGTGTACGCATCAAATGAACCAGTCAGTAAAATTGAACGGAAAGGTCATTTGCATAACCAAATCCGCGAAAAAGTTTTTTTTTTTTCAATTGGGAGAAGCACATGTCAACTGTTGTCCCCATTCTTCATCAACCGTCTACTATAACAAAACGTACGAGAAAGCGATTTTAATTTCGTTTCTCAGGTGAAATGTAAAAGTCCTGTAGGAACTAAGTAAATAAATAGTTAAAATCAGCCGAAGGGGAAACAAAAAGATAAATAAAAAAACGTCGACTTTTGAGCTTTCGAGGAAGAGAAGGTAATTTAGATGGTTCTTGCGAAACAAAAAGCGGGAAAAACTCTGTGTTGTATGTAGTGTTTGAGTATTGGCTATCTTGTGAACAGAGAACCTGAAGGAGTTAATAGATGAGATGAATTCTTGCCTAACCGAAAGTAGCGTCATAGTTCAGAAACTTGTGGAACCTTTTATAAAATAGGAAAGAAATTATAGCACATAAATCTAACCAACCCAGCTACATTTATTTTCATTTAAACCCTTTTGACACCGCTCAAAAAATAAAGCCAGAAATGAATATGGGTATAATTTACAGTTCAGTTGTGTAGACCATCATCGGCACAAAGATATGATGCTACGATGTTGATACAACACCTATTGCTACCAATCAGTTTACCACTAAACAGACAATTAAGCAATAAACATTTAGGAAGGAATTAGGTATTAGGATAAGTACTGAAAACTTAAAGAATAGACAACCACCTAATGAGTCAGCCAGCAATTAATCCGGAAAACTTTAATCACTTTGAAAGAAACTCAACTAATACTATTTTTTGCCACGACTGAAAAAAATGAAGATTTGATTTTCAATGGAGCATCCTAAAGAAAAATTTGCTTACATTTCAGTGAAAACACTTAATGATGAATCACTGCATACAAAAAGTGGGCGCACAAATATGAAATACTACTGTAAGGATGAACCACAGAAAGTAACCTCAGAGGAGGTGAGCCTACCTTGGAACACTACTGAATTAATCAGGTGGACATTACATTGCAAAGCGTACTTCAGCGTTTCTAGAATTAAAACAGCCATAAATTCGCCCTAAATAGAGGACAGGTAACGGTAAAATCCCTAGAACACAAGAGGTCTACTTAACACTCGAAACAATTGAAACCTCGAACGTAAAGTGACAGTGGTATGATCGGAAATTCCAGACAGTAAAGGCGTGATGTGGTCAATCAGCCAAGTTGGGTATCCACACGACAAGACACAGAGCAAGTCACGCATTTTTAATCGAAGGAAAGGTGAGTCATGTAAAGAAAAGCACAAAAGATGTGCTTAGAAGAAATCTAGGAATTTCATTAGAAAACTGTAGATCACAGCACAGAATCAACTAGCATCATACAGTATCGCAGCAACTGAAGGCAAAAAAAGGAACACTCCTGCTCAATAGCTATAAAGAGGGTTTTATTCATGAATTCATGCTAACTACTTAATGCGCCTGAGTATCGCCCTTTCCCTTTATGCCATCAAATTTACAACAACCCACTTTTTCATCTCGATGATTCGCTCTAGTAGCCGAAAACTCAATCATAAATCGCCAATAGTTTGCATTTTGTAGAGCACTGTAATATATAATGGCTATTTGCTCTTATTTCTAAACAAAATGCGTAAATGAATCAAAACAGACCGCTTGAAAATTTCAGAGAACGTGAGTGTTCGGAGATGACTTACAAGGTCAGGTCACATAGAAAACCTTTAGAGGTTTCAAACGTGTTAGAATCAAAACAGCTGTGCTTTACTGATGGTTGCATGAGTGTTACAATAGATGTTCCCTTCGGATTTTGAGAGCCAAGTTCCCATACTGGAAGTTAGAAGACGTTTTTCAAGTGATTATCACAAATGTGCTATTCGTACTAACAAATAATGATTGTGCCAGAAGCGAATGGATTAACCCCGTCCATTATAAATCCACGCACATAAGCCAGATGGCAGCGAGATTATTATGTTTCGCAATGATACGATGAGGACAAGCATTCGTTATATAAGTCGAAAAGAAACAAACGATTGAATAAAAGTGTTGGAAAAGAGAAGGCAGAGATAGAACGCACGATTTGTGAGCCCTGAAGGAATTTTGCACACGATTAAGACCTAAGGCGTTTGCAAGGCAAAGCAAAAAACTTAGTTTCATCAAAACAGGCTGTAAACGTGACGATGGCTCCTTGTTCAGAAAATCCGTCGAGAGGAAAGCACAAACTATATAACAACGCTATACTATATCTTCAAAATCTAACATCCAGTCAGGAAACCTGTTATTTGTAAAGAGGGAAAGAGAATGAAACAGCAACTATAAGAATTTCGAAAAGTTGACTATGAGCCTGACTTTACCACCATCACCGATAAACCAAAACAATATCTGATTTAGTTCTCGCCAAATAAGTACGATGGACAAAGAAAAAAAGAAGCCTTTAAACGATAGCGAAGCGAGTACTGAGCAACCGTTTGCAGAACGGTAATTAGCCCCATCAAGTAGCCTACTAAATGGAGACTAGAAAGGTATTGAATGCTGCCTTTCAGGATGCCCAACAGCCTCGTCATTTATTCTGTTAAAGTGCGCAATCCTTATGAAATCACCCACTTTAATACGATGAGAAATAAATACCTTCAGGATTAGTTCGACAGGATTTCAGAGAGAGGGAGTGAAAGGAGAGACATCTTTAAAAACCCAATCAGCACAGGGGAACAATTTCCAGACGAAATGGAAATCAATGGATAAGATAGTGCCCGCCAATACTAGAGATCGCAGTAAGTGTTATTTACTCTAACCTGTCGGCGGAATACGTAATGGAGAAGGGGTGAGCATCCTTTTCTTTAGGGCTAAGGGGATCCTGCGCGTCGCGGAAGGTCATCGGAGCAACAAAGTCGGTGGTTTCGTGGTCAGGAGCGGTGGAACCGAGGGCGCCGCGAGGCGAACGCACAAACTCCGCGGTGGAGTAGCCCTCGTCGAAGTCGGCGTCGGTACAGACTCTCCACAGCTTGAAGTCAGATTCAGTGAGTTGAGGAAAGCGTACCAGGTAGCGCGTCTGACCATGAACGTTAGGCTATCGAAGAAAGGAGAAGCAGGGAGAACATACACATGCATTGCTTTGATGAGCAAAACAATGAATAAAAAATTGAGTTTAGATCCATGGAAAATAAAGATTCTTGAACTAACTCAAAGTAATAAAATACGAATTTTCGTACAAATTTCAGTACACCAGCCACTTTTTGTGCATACCCCAGCCTAAAAAATTTCCATTAAACAGTAGTAATAGGATAGTTATTTGCAAGGTAGATAAAGCCCTCAAACAATAAAAACGTTGGTAGTGCAGACCTAGCAAGCGTACAATAGAAAATGAAGCTAAATCCAGACACCACCGATGTTATGTAAATTTCAGAGGCTTTTAACTAATCCATTAATCCCCTGAATTACCGCTTTTGCTGTGCTTAGGACTGGAAATTAGAAAGAGCATAATCAAGCATACAATTAAATAATGACAAATGCGTACAAATATTATGCAAAGCAATATCAACCGTTTTTGGAAACAGTGGTACTTTTAGCGGACTTACCACTTTCCACTAGGAAGTCAGCAAGTTTAAAACTTAAAAGTTCACTCAAAGTATTAGCCTGGTTGATAGAATTAAGTTTGACTAAATATTGCGTTAAAAGAGATTTAAGCAAAAAATCCTTAATTTGGTTCCTATACTGCTTATATTTGCTGATTAAATAATACTGTCGTGACAATATGAAGCTCGGGAATAAACACACAATAGTCACAAAAATTAAAGCGTTGAATACTCTCCATTCCTTACTTTAAAGACTATAAACTTTAAACGCAATAGCATTTTATCTTCGCTTCAGTGGCTGAATAAAAACGCCACAACTTTCCGGTTGAAATGACACAATTATGAAGATAAAGCTAAAGTAAACTTGGAAGGAAACTGACCAAAAGTGATTACCGAACCTAGCATTGACAAACTTGAAAATTCAAAAAAAAACTGCTTTAAGGAGAACCAGTAAATCTGATGTAAATAAAGCCGTACGTGAGGAAGGTGTGAATGCTTTGGGAAAAGTCGAAGCCTCCTAAGCGAAGAAAAAAGTATTGCGAACTGTTGCAAAAGCAGCTGCGTATTAGTGTTCACCACCTAGACTAAACAGATTTCATGGGAATATCAAATAAATGACGGGGAAAATAGCTATTTACAGACAAGGATACACCCGGCGGCTCTTTGTGAAACCTGACTTCCAAATTCCCCAAATCAACGGCTTTATCAAAACCTTAAACTTCTAGATAACCTACACAAATAAATTTCAGAAAATCCAAGTTACGTAAGAGAAACTAATGTGCAAGGATGACGTTAATGTTTTAAATGAGGGAAAATAAACCAAACAATCACTGTAGTGCCAAAACGATTTCAAAGGGATTTCCTACTAAGAAGTACAAATTTGTAGATAACTTAATTGCATTCGAAATCCACAAATCGTAAATACAAGTTTATAGCCGATAGCAATGAATAATAGCAGTTGAGAACACGCAAGCATGAGTAGATCTCCAGTGCATTTGAAATAAAAAAAAATAATTTCGTAGAATGCTAACTTAAGACTTCCGTTAAATTCAGTTAGCAGTCATCGACGTCTGAAACAAAAAATACAAGGCAAAATGGGTACTTACTACATTATCGCGAATCTGCATCAACGCGAGATGGAAATACCCCATAAAAATAACTTGACTACGACTTTCTTAGCAAAAATTCAGTGTTTAGCTAAAGTATAGACGTTACGTCAAGGTATTATCATTTTGCCTTAAAACAAGTCGCGATATGATACCTGATAACACTTTCAAATGTCATCGAAGAGACGTCTAAAAGAAAGCATAACAGCCACCATATCGCACACAGCTCTGATTGGAGTACCTCCGAAATAGGTTCTGGGGTTTAATGCAACAAAATTAAGTTTGGTTAATCATTCACCCGAAAGACTGTTGAAGTGGGCAAACACAGGTATTCTAACACAATTTGGAGTACGTTTCATTTACATGAAGACCGTGATTGACACCGATGTTACCCTCCCTAAACTATTACTGGGAGCTCACATCGAAACCGGCTTTGTGACGTCGAAGACGTCGTTTAAGTGTGGCCACTTCCTCCTTCCAGGGCCTCAAGCGGATCCACCATCGAATGAGATCTCCAAACACATTTTCACGGTTGCGTCCACCCGCACGATCCACTTTGATGAATCCGCGTCGACGAAACTGATAAACGAAAGGCGCATTCTGTAGCACAACATGTCTGCTGACTGTGAGTCTAAACATTCTGAAAAGCGATGAAGTGCAATTACAAAATCAGATACCACATAACAATAGTTGGCAGGACTAAGTCGGCTTCAGTAACACTACCCAGAGCAGTAGAGCAATAAATTGGAACAAAAATATTTGGATACTAAAGAATCATTCCATTCAAGGATGTAAAGAGCAGATACCGCCAACTTTTTAGTTGATTCAAGCATTATCCTTTTGTGACAGTGAGTATCTACGACCTTATTTAATAGGAGCGTGCATTAAGAACAACGCACTGCAATGCCAAGTATGAAGCTACTTAAATTGGTCCAACCCGTCCTAAATATCAAAGACTGAAGGCAAAGCAAGCGCCCGAGAAATATGCTTACTGACTAATAGAGAAAGCGGGACATGAGGGAACCCGCATTTATAATAGCTCAAACTACAGAATAAAACAGATCCATGGGCGAGTTTAATTCAGCGACTAGACAAATTCAAATATTATCCTACTACAATATTTTTTGAAGTTCGGAAGTGTGATGTTAAAAAGAAAAATCGAAAGCAATATCCGTGATTTTTATTTAAAGGATCTATTAAAATTAGCTAGAGTTGCAATAGAGGATTGCTACAGCAACAGTGAAGCAAGTTAAGTACATTAACACGTCAAGATGACAAATATTTGCACAATTAATTCACCCTAGTACAAAGGGGAAAGTACTTTGTGACAATGGAACGACTGATAATAAACTAGGCAGTTCGGAGTTGTTACCTCTTGCATTAGTTTTAAATTGTTCGCTAAACACGAAATTATAATGCAAAAAAGGGAAGTTAAAATAACATGAAAAAATGTCTATGTTGCATTAGACAAGGTCCGGAATGACCGGGATTTCAGTAATTTCCCCTACTGTAAATATGATCATGTATCCCTCTATTAGCGACAATCAATTACCAAAGAGCCATGCTATAGAAACAAATATTCTGAAAGAACGTTTAACAAAAGTAATAATGGGTTTGCATATTTCAATCGACATGCTAAAGTACTGAGGGATTCGAGGTAGCCTAAACGATGGATTCTGAAAACAGAGTGGCACAACGAAAAGGGTGGGAAATTTGTACAAATAGGAGTGGACAATCTTATCAACTGATATACAGGAAAAAAATCGACAGAATGAACATGGTTGTGTCGGAGTGAAAAAAGACAGGGGCGAAACGTCAGTGGGCAAGCCCTACAGTACTTTCACGGCCTGTTTTTTGGTGCCAATAGCTAAATGCCAAGACGCCACACGTGAACTGCAAACAAGCGCGTGCGCAGGCGCCCGACGACAATCAACGCTCTAGGAATTACGTGTGCGCTAGGTTATTGCTGAAGCAGAGCCCAACAAGCGTCATCACCGCTTCCCGACGGAGGATTGAAACGCATCGATTATGGGTAAGGGGAGAGCGAGTGCTGACCCACAGTGAACTAATTATCGGATTAGCTCCCTATTTGATGACCCGCTGCGTTTCGGAAGAATGGTATTAGGCATTCTGTGTTACCTCAAGCGCCAAAAAGTAAATTGGAAATCAAACTTATGCAAACTTTTCAACTCAAATGATAGAAGATAAGGAAAAGTACCCATAAATGACGCAGATCTAGTTTAGTAAAACACTTTATGACTAAAAAAGAGTATGTGCTTTAAGCTATATGCCGCAACTAAACATAACCAGTAAGCAAAATGCCAATTTACCAGATTTTCCACATTTCGTCACGTAATATTATGAAGCCACGGAAAAACTTCGGCAGATAAATAAGTAAATTTTGACGTACAGAGAAGATGAGCATCCACGCCGATGTGCTGTTATAAACGCTTTGTCTTCAAGAACAAGATGCAATTGTAAGGCCACAATTTTTTTAACAGACGAGGTGTCTATAGAATTCAGTTCCGAGCAAATTTGAATTATGAAGTGTGGATGGTAGACTAATCATTTTTACTTGCATTAACAGATATACATCTGCGCCAAAAAAATATGCTATTTTAGAATAAAAAGCAGAACAGAAACTAACTTTTGATACACATAGATCGAAATGTTTCCGATTGGTAAATAGAGAATTAACCCCACTGTAAGGAAATAATCATCTGAGAGGGCGTATTTGTGCCGCTACAAGAGTAAGACCAAAGTGACAGTTCATAGTACTAATGAACAGATACTTCTTTTGAAAACAATATCTAACACAAGATGGCAGACAGGAACGGGTCTGTGATAAGTGCACCTCACCTTACGAAGATTAAACACTAAGATGTTTCTATTCAGTGAAAGAAGATGAGTACAGAGATGATCTGGTAGACATTATTCACAAAATGAACGGGAAAACCAAACTGAATTCATAAATCGCTTGATCTGGAAAAAAGTGACAGAAAAGTTAATTTGCCAACTACAGTTAACACACCGTTAACACAACATTTTCACGAAGGAAAAAAGAAATTGCCAAAACAAAGCTACCTTGGCTGTCGGTAAGAAGATTGCCTAAATGATAATGTGAAACCTGTTTTAATGCTATCGCAGCTGTACTAGAATGTAAGACTTGAATGGATTGGAAGACCGAAAACAGAACACCTAAATGTTGATCAACATCCAGAATTGGATTTCAAAAGCACTCCGGGGTTGCAATATCATTTGAAATTGAGCAAGTTCAACACAAGCAAATCCACCGAAAATCCGAAGTTGCAGAAACACTTTAAAACAGTCGATTCAATGCCAGTATTGCCAATTTAAGACTTAATTTCTGATGAAAAAATAATACTTGAGTAGGTGACGTGCGGTTGCCACAGAGAAACAATGAAAACTATGGGATACAATAAACAACCAATGAAGAATCGATGGAGAGTTTATGTGAGCTTCTAATCCGAGGCTAAAGTGGACAGATATGCAAGTTGGCCCGAGCCACCCATTCCAAGAGTAAGAAAAATACCTAGACGGTGAGCGCTTCGGTTAGAATGGCTACGTTCGAAAACCTGAAGAGTGTTAGTTTGATAAATCATATCGAAAAAACGGACACTTCAACCAAAAAAGTAGCAGACGTGAGTTTTTGTTCTAACGGAAAAAAAAGCAAATCAGTAGATTATCTTTTACAGTACAGTTCACAAGATCAAGGCCTCAGCTGGTACGCGTTGGAACATTTGGGGACGAAGTTTTGTGCATAGCAGTTAGCAAAGAAATAATTAACAATGGTCTAACAATGGGAAACCAGTGAGATGGTTTGCAGCATAAGCGGATTCGGTCACACCAACTAGGCGGCTGAGCAGAAGCAAGATTTACCTATGATGTGAGTCAACCCTTTAAAAGAACATCGTCTAAATAAACAATGAAGGTCGAATTTCCATTTGCAGTATGAATCCAGACCTTCCGTTTGCGAATTATAAATTGGGTAGAATAAAACGTTTTTCCTGATTCTGGATGGTATTGAAAAGATACAAAGACGTTAAATCAGCGGAAGCACAACAACATGCGCGCATAGGCATAAGCGTTCTCTTTCAACAACTCTACTGTATTTCAAAATATTCAGCATAGGTAATATAGGTTTGCGGGAAAAACACTAGAGGGCTGTCTACGTATGTATGTTCGCTCGCTGGGACAGAGGCAGGCAGGTTGAGGCGTGCGCGTAGGTACGTTTGTGGGTCAAGAAGTAAGCTAACCAGAGGGCAGCTTTAGGGTGTGTGTAAAATAGAGCGTGGAGGTACTGACATGGTGAAGAGGGCAACGGAGAAACAGGGTCGAAGGCGAGGCTACGGCGAGAGAAACCGGGTAGTACAATTTCGAGGCCACACACACGTGCGACAACATGAGAACCCGTAGGGTCAAGGTAACGGGTGGAGTACATTTAGAAGGGGTGGGGGAGACAGGTGTGTACAAAAGCTATCTCCACCAAATGATGGCCGAGTGACAGCACCAGCACCAGCACCACGGGGAGGACTGCAAATTTGAGTTTTGGTTCTAGAGGAAAGAAGACAGTATAACACTTGAACTAGTACAAGTAGGCAAAACCTATTTCTTATTTTTTACACACAAGAATGAATGTGGTTTCTATTTCAATTACATCAACAGAATATAGGTCTGGTGGGTAGAATGTTTTTATCATGTCAGGTGCGCACCGACAACTTTATTGACATCCAATTGGAAGTAAAATCAACCGTAAAACTCGACAGTTTGATAGGTGACGATGCATGAGAGAGCAAACTTTTGCTTTAGCCCCTCAGCTTAGGAATCAGTCTGATAAATCGGATGCAGGTTTATGCATGCAACATTCGAACAAAATGCGAACAGTCTTCATTTAATTCTGCCTAAACACTATTAAGATAATAAAAAGAAAGGGAAACAAGCATGAGTAATTTATTTGCCTCAGTACAAAGGTAAATTAGTGTCGATAAAGTTTAGATTTGCGAATTCGAAAATAAGATGATGCGCAATAGCATAACTAACACGTCTACATTTATAATTACGAAAACACACGATGATCGTAGTGGTTAAAATACAGCCCTTTCACTAACTTATGATGGAAGTTTTGAAGTACGAAAGCACAATGCAATTTAAAAAAGTTATTTGAGAAGAGCTAACAATATACATCTTTTAGAATACTGCGATGTAATGAGCAGGAACAGTGGGGAGAGTGTTTAGAGGTTCCGTGTCGCAGCTTCGCTATGAAAACGAAGCACAATTAGAGTGAAACTATGCACTAATAGATAAGAAAATACAAACTTAAAGACACTGGTAACCCATAAAACGCCCGCACGAACTTATTTGATTATGACGTATCGCAAAATCCATTTTGGTAGCAGGAAACGCGAGAACAGGTGAAGCATGTGAATACAGGAGTGACGAAAATTTTTGCATAATTATGCGAAAAGTGAATGCATAAAATTGTCTAATCGATAGCCCGCGTTGATTATCCCTTGTGCTCAAAATAAATAACGATTGAAGGACATGTACTTTCGAAGGAAGCAAAATCAAAATAACTCAAATAAGTCATGCGGCCCTCGACACCCCTGTCTGATGAGGTCAACGCCAGACAAATAAAACGAGTTCAAATTCACCATTTTAAAACAGGTTTCCCACAAAACAGTTTTAAAGTATGAAAAAACGACAGGTTTCGCTTATGCATGATAACACGATCCAAATTGATGCCTTTTAAAAGTGCTGGATGAAAGAAATCACAATAATTTTACCTGCCAGAACTACATCAAAAACAAAAAGGCATCATTATCATCGTATGGAGAGTAAAGTAGGAAATTGCATTGGATGTTAAAATTTGAAAGCGGATCAGGGGAAAAACTGACTGTTCGCAAATCACAATTGCTGGAAGAGCACATCTGCAACGCAGATGTGTCTACGGAATCCTATGAATAACATTTAAAACGGTGTCTACTTCTGGCAAATCCCTAAATACGTGCTCCATACAATAGCTGCTGATAAAGCGTGTGTAAGTTTTAATGAACTAAGATTAGCTTTAAGGAAAAGCTTAATGTTTCCTAAAGCGATTTATGTACTTTGGCATCACCATATTCTCGCTAAAATGTTGCCCTAGGGCAAACGTCATTATGACCTGCGATCGGAAAACAGACAGCTCCCCGCAGAACAAGGTCGGTGTTTGGCCCTATCTCCTGAAATGAACCATCCCCCGATACAATTTGTTCACAGGGAGCGCAATGTTCAGAAGACCTGATTAAGTCTCCAGGATGTACTACCGTTGGGTGGGAAGACCTCCCTAAGACGTGAATTCGTCAAATGAGCCTCGATTTCGTCCCGCAGGTGGTTGCAACTCGCAAAGAAACTCAATGCGGTCGAGGTAGAAAAATACCTGTGAGGAGCGCCCAAGAAGAAGTTCAAAAAGGGGGTCTATTCAGTGACTTGATATCGGTTTTGATGGGTGTTTAACTTCTTTCGTCACACGGCATGGCCTTCCAAGCATTCCCAACCCTACCGTACACTGAAAATAAACCATCATTTGATAGTAGCACGCTTTGATACGGCATCAGGGAGGACTAGGGGCGCCAATATTACTTTTAGAGTCAAACATTAAAGCCCACCATTGAAAAAATAGCAACTAGTAAAAAGTTACATTGTCAGTAGATGGTGACTATGCTTGTACTCTCAACAAACAAAATCATTAAAACTGCCCTAAAATACGTTTATTCGCTCATTTAGGGAAAAAATTAACAATATTTAGATTTAGAAAGATGATTGGTAGATTTCAAATCGAGAACAAAGCATCGGACAGTTTGCCTGATATGTACGAACGTGACTTCAAGACACGTGCACAAACCTTTCCCATTGAAGGAATGCAACACAGTGACAAGGGACATGGGGCATTGCAGGTGAGGTAAGAGTTCAGGTGTTAAAAACTCACGTCTAAAATGCATATGATATTGGTTCTGAGATCAAATTCAAATGATAATCAAAAAGGGCTGAGAACAAACCCTTCTGAGTGTGGCCAAAGTCAGAGAACCATGAATAGCTACATGGACAGAAGAGTGAAGTGTCGCACAGTAACCGTCCCTTGATAGTACCATTTTTGAAATCTATGGCATTTTACCTTGGTCTGAGAGTACTTCATAGATTTAAATATGCCAAAATCTTAGATTTCCAAATTATGACAATCACAGATACGAGTGCGAATTTACGGTCAATGGGTAGAGGTGATAAACAAAATAGAGGGAGACCAGTCGTTGAGATCGATTGAATTCATAACACAAGAATCAAAAGAAGGAAAAGTTGAAACCAGTTGGTATGCATTTTTCTTCGCCAAAACTAGGTATTGGGTGTCTGCCAAGATGCAAACTGTATATCAATTCGGGTCGGACGGAGAGTTTAGAGAAGGCGGTTATTGTGATCGGCCAATTAAATACGACATGTTATGATTTAGAATATTGTATTTAACTGCCTTGTGAAATATTTTGATATATATAGAAACAAAGTTATGGGTTCCTATAAGTTTAACTTAACCTCTTGAAAAGCGATTTAACAGTGGCCCTTCAGAAATCAACAATTGCGACAAATCAATTGCAGCTCGCCCCTATTACGACTTGTGTTAGTAAGCACAGAGAGCAACACTGGGATAGCGCAAATGGAAATAGTGTCTAACGAAAAAGTGGTATGGTTGGAAAAAATATTTTACTTTGCATATAAAGAAATAGAGAAACCGTAGTGTTTGTCTCGAGAAGTTGAACATTAGAAACAAGGGTAAAAATCAATAGCTTTTGGAATATGTTCCCCTCTGTTTAAAAATTAATGAGGAAACGCTCCAGTGTCATTAAATATTCCAAATCGAGACTCAAATAAACCTCAGTCAGACAAATTACCATTACAGCTTAAGAGAAATCGAATAGTGACAAAATTTCAATTTTGTTAGAATGAAAGAAAGGACTTACACAGATTTGGTTTCGCACCGGTAAATTGGTTTCGGAGAAGGAAGTGAGCAAGACAAGATGCCACCTGAAGTTGAGGAACAAACAGCACTTCAACGTGTTGCATCAAACGAAAAAGAGCAGGAAAAATGGAAATGGATAAAACATTTTTCCTACTTTCAGGTATTAAGACTGTATGAAATGAGTAAGCTCTTTATTATTCCCGTCTACAGGGCCATCATGTGCACAAGCACTCCCTAAATAACTTTAAAAGATCACCGACAACGGCAATGCGTTACCAAGCATTTATAATCAAATAGGCGCGTGACCTACCTCATCTGGCGAGTCTTCGTGAATTGCATGGCCCGCACGAGGTAAAATCTTCAATTGAAATTTGCCTTGAATAAGGAAAAAATCACCACCAAATTGTCAATGCAAATTACCACTATTGGACGGGGCGGCCTTGAACACAAATTCTGCGCGGAACGGGTGTGCGTGAGCGTGTATGCACATGAATATACAATATTTACACATGAATGACATTTCTGCGCATCAATCATACCTCGTGTGGTCAAATGATAGCCAATCCTATTACAAAGAAAGCATTTGTTATCAACTTATCCAACAGGTGGAATAAAATATCGCTTATATGCTCTACCTTGTAGCCTCCTTGAAGAGGTAGATGAAAATCCCGCATTAGTAGGAAGCCACGGAAACCTAATCTTATCTGGCGACAGTAGTGAGTTGCGTTTACTAGTGGAGGCTGCCACTTTGACAATTGAGAAGCAGCAACGTTTATCTCGTGAAGAGCACGATCAAGAATTATCTCGTGTGGTGTGGGTAAATAAATGCAGGTAAACTCTGCGGATTAACAGGATTGATGAAAAGCCATCCAGTCAGTTAAAGTCCCGAGCACTTTATGCATAACTTGCATTCTTCAGAAAACAGGAAATGACTTTGTATCAATAGACTTAGAATTTTTTGGTTTGGTTGGCTTGCTAAAAATATCTAATGCTGGGTTAGAAATGGCCAAGGTTATTTTTGATTAAATGAGCACTCTGACGACTCAAATGAAGTAGAACGGTGGACTAGGTGACACCCGCTGTACAACGAAAATGAGAAGGGGCAAATATAGGCCACATGCATGACAACTCGGGTCAAGCTGACACGAATTAAATAAGATTTTGTGCGGCGCGTTATTAGGGCATCAAGTAATCACCAAAACCGCGACTCACACCGATTTGTGGGACTCATTACCCTCACTCGGAAAAGGCTGACCTATCGTGTAATTCTCAGTAGCGTTGCTTTTCATGACTGACAGGCTGAGGATGCTTTGTCAGGTAGGAAGCTTGCATTTTAAACAAGAGCAACTAAACTTACCCGTAAACGAGAGTGAATGGTAGAATTTTGAATAAGGCTTAAAGATGATAGGGAATCAGCGATTAGAGCCAGAACAAGAGGGTGGTAACTCCTCACCTTGCATCTGAGCGATAGTCAGCTCCTTGTCTAGCCGATCAACTCCAGCCACAAGAAGGAGTTTGGGCTCCGGAACAGATAGGAAAAGTGAGGACATATTAGAAAACCAACCACGCCAGAAGGGCTCGGTCTTGGAGAGATCTATCCGCCAAGTGTAGGCGCCCGTGGCATCCGACATTGGCACAGACGGCCTAACAGCGGTCTCCGTGGCTGGCATGGATATAGGTGGAAGGAGATGAGGGGGAGAAGGAGGTTGAGATCGTTTCATTTCACCATTGCCCTTCTCTACGAAACGCGGTACTACGGATGCTTCCTCATTCTCCTCCGGTTCCTCTTCCTCGGAGATGGTGGTGGTGCTGGAAGCAAAGGGTTTGGAGGAGTGGGAGAAGTTAGTGGTGGTGGGAGAAGAAGGCGAACAGGAAGCTGGGCTGCAAGGATCACTGGCATCGATCAGCGCTGTGCCTTTATCCAACTCGCGTGTAGCGCTCTCGCCCGTAGCAATGCGTTTCAACTGACCAGGAAAGGAGATGCACGCCGATTCTACGTTGTGAATTTGGCCACTGCGGACACTGGAAAGGAAGGACGATTAGCTTTAACCTGACAGCATCAATGTTAGATGTGCCTTGTTTTCATAGAAAAGAAGAGGAATTGTAATCGCTAATTTGTGATGTTGAGTAGTCTCCATCATTCAACCTTCCATCGCAGGAGAGTTGATAAAAATATAATCTTACAATAGCCATTTTTTACTAAATAGGACAAAGTAGAATCGTCATTACTAGGTTATCATAGGAAACTACTCCACATAATAATAATATTATTGTTTTAGAGCTACGTAAGGGCAAATTTTAAAACGATGAGAATCTCCAAACTTTCACGAAAAGCTGATACAGATTATTTAGAGTACTCGGAAATTCGGTCACTTTCTATTCAGTTACTTGTATTGCTTTTTTACAGACATCGAGTTGGAGACGGCTGTATGTGGTGAATGAGAACAGTAAAATATCACAATGGGCTATGCATCTAAAATACCTTGGCAATGCATCGTTTTAACAGCAGTGATTTAGTTGTCGTTTAGTTTCCACTTTGAACTAAATGTTTATCTTTTTAACGAATTCCACCATTAATATAGCAAAAGTACTTTACGAAAATACATGATGAGCATTATAGATGTCGCAACGGATAAACAACAGAACGACTGATTAATTCCCTTTCAGATTTCGCAACCTAATTTTTAGCACTATCCAGCAAGGAAAAGGTATTCAGATGTTGCAATGGAAATAAATTGTGATGAAAGATTAGCAAAAGCTATCCCTCGCCGAATAACTAAATATATTCAGAACACAACACCCAATAATTTAATTTAAAATTGCGCAAAATTAGGGGAATATTATTATGTGCTGCACTAACAAAAACCAACTAAGTCAAATTTATTACCAATCAAACAATTTGGGACTACTAACAGAGCTCCCAACTTACCACCAAGAAATACCATCGACAAGTGAACGAAAGCCCTGAGGTCTGCTGCGAAGGAAGGTGGTCATGCTGTACAATGATTCAAGAGCGGTACCTGCAGAAAAAACGCGAGACCACTCCCTCATGAACTGAAATCGCGTAATAAAGCAATTCATGAAGTTACGTCTGTAATGGGTGGATATACAACCTGACCTAAAGATTAGGTGGATTTGTGAAAAGAACCTTTTGAAAAGCGATAACACGAGACATGCAGACAGGTTCTTGTCTATGGCCATTGACCAACGGTAACACAAAGCTAAGAATTGTTCTCAGCTGCATAAGTGTAAAATAAAATCGACGCTTTTGTACACGAAAATCAGGTGCAAAACGTTATTAGGAGACATGTCGATTATAAATTACCTAATGTAAGGCGAACCTATCAGTTGGAGAGCGGAGCTTTTGGGTTTAAAGACAAATGTGATCGAAATGATTGGTGGATTCGCATAACAATAACCATATCACAGGGCGCCACGTACAGAAACTTCCACGCAGTTGATGTGAATTAGTTTGCATCTTCCAAGGTCTCACTTTGCAATACAAGTAACATTGCTTAAGATAACCGAATCTCGTCACATGCAGAAGTAAGTGATTCAAAGAACGACTACCGGACGAATCGGCTCCAAAACAGCTGTTTAGAATGTAAGCCAGAATACCAAGTAGAAAAGCGACCATAGACAGGTTTTTAGAGAAACGCGAGTCTGGAATCGTAGGATTTAAAAAAGACAAATAACAGCTCCCAAATAACTTCGAATTAGAAAAGCAAACATAATAAATTAGCAAAAAAGGGCCATTGTGAGGGGAAATTTAAGGTGCAAAATAACCGCAAACATACCCTCAACAACATCGACAACAACAAGTCCAGCAAACGAAGGTATGGCTCTTTTTTGGGCCACATGCACAGCGACAGCGCCACCCATACTAAAGTAACGAATGCAAAGAAATAAATAACCAAACCGGGAAAACCACAAAAAGTAAAAAACAGCCTACCTGTGACCAATTAAAATAATCGGCGGAGCTTCAGTAGGAAACATAGCGAATATAATTTGAATGATATCATTCGCCAGGGTTTCAATAGAATAATCGTTTTCATCTTTGCATTGCGTGTCACCTTAAAAAATGCATTCGTATACAGCTAAGTTGCTTATAAGTATACCATGACCACGCATATCAACAGCAAGACATTGACAACGAACGTCCTCCGTTATTGCTTTCTGTGATTGGTTTAACAAAAATGACATTAAGTAGACATACGCTTAATAAGGACCATGATAAAGCAGAAAAGCCACCGCCGTGAATAAAAAATAATAGGGGCCCCTCAACTCCCCGGCGGTAGATGCGATAGGTCTGCGGAAAGAAACATTAATAAGAGCACACGTACTCCGCTTGCTATTTCAACATCATCCCGAATATTAAAGTATTTGTTCCACTTCTGAGGAATGTATGACACAGCCTTTCGTCCCAAACATTGCACACTAAAAACCAAGTAGGTTAGAGGAGTAACCAAAAAATAAACTACTTGTCACTGATTTTCAATCTAGGAGCGAACTGACGCCGCAAGAGGTCGGACATTTCGAAAAAGTGGACGTAAAACTAGCTTATTAAAACTAAACAAATGGACGGGTTATTAGTTCAACAAAATGACACCTGCTTAGTTTAACCTCAAATGTAAGAACGTTACTGATATTTAAGTGTGGCTGCGCATTTTCTCATATTTAAAAAAATGACCTATTGATAACGAAGAAAAAGAGCTCATGGATTTAATTACTTAACCGCATTTATTGGTTAACTTTAGTGAATCCAACATGGAATCTATTTATTAAAGCTTAGCATTTTAAAGTTTTTGCGCGCTGAAAAGTCCAAAAATAAGCTTCTGCCCGAATGTTGGATAACTGTGAATGCAAAAAATTGTATCAACTACGTGCTCATAATCGTTGTAACAAATTAGCATCAAAAGCAAAGTTGCAATCTTGTTTTGTGCATATTTTTTTGAGAGAGGGCTGCAGACGAAATGAATTCCGTGATTGAGCAGCACGAAACATATCCCAAACCGGATAAAAGTTCCACACCCACATCTTTCTAAGCTCGCATTCACCCCTTTGTTTACCCTAAGAGCTGAACATATCAAGACTGTATCATATTGGGTCTTCTAATGGTGTGAAGGCCGAAGAGGAGGGGACCAACCAGACTCGCACTACAGAATAATGCGTGCATCATTTTTGTGGCGTCCCGAGACTCCCTGAAGACGAAAGAAGACAAAATACTCTGGCAGAATACATATTCAGCGCAGAGGAGGTGTCTGGGCTATTGGCATGGCCCAAAAGGCCAGCCCACCCAGCGAGGTACAAGGGGGCTGATTCAAAGTACGAAAGTGGCGCCTCACCAGTACTGAGGGATAAACCACTATCGTATTATATAACAACTCGTGCAATTCAAAATAAGGCTCCTTTAATTCTACTAGCTCCCAGAATATGTTTCGCCAAAGATATTGCAAAAATTTAATTTTAAGTAGAAATTTTTATTAAATTGCCTAAATCTTCTTTGCTAAGTCAGCATACCACTTTGTAAAAAATGCCTGTTGTTAATGACAGATTGTAGTTGATTACTTCCCTATTTTACGTGCTTAACGCTTGGAATTTAATATCTTATGAACTGCGCTTTGAGCAACTCTGGCAATTACGGGTGCGCAGATTATACCTTCGCCTTGCTGTGTGACCTCAAGTGTAGGAAGGCAGCTACCATGGTTTTGCATGTGTTCGAAATACGTGGTCTTTTGGAATATTTGGACGTAATAGAAGATTCGGAAGTTTCGACGCGTAACCTTTGCTACTTTTGACCTGTAATTAAGGGGGGGGGGGTGGTTATCTTTACTGTAGAGCTACTAGTGTGACACCAGTGCTGTTTTAATATTGCCTTTAGAAAGGATGCAGGCACGCGAGGCGCCCACGTCGAGTAAGCCGGAGAGAGCGTCCAGTCTACGCCCCCTTAAACACATATTGTTTTCTCCCACTTACTTACCCGGAAAAAACATGTCGAAATAAATCAATTCGGGTGTTCTAAGAACACGAGGACGAGGGGGAGGTGACCTACTAGTCTCGCCCTTCGCCAGTTCTTAGGTGTTAACTGATAATAATACTAGAAGCATCTGCAACATCTCGAGACGCTCTTCAAGGCAAAGGAACGGGTAATGCTCGTGTAGAATATACCTATTCGACGTAGAGAATGTATAGCAGATACTGGCATGTCCCGAAAGACAGCCCACCTGGCATGGTACAATGACCGGGTCAAAAGCAGCTCCTTAGCAAAGGTGAGAGATTGACGACAACTGTGTGACACATCTGCTTAAACAAATGTAGCGTCCCGAGACTCCCTGAAGACGAAAGAAGACACAA